AAAACTGACATACTTGAAGGGAGAAATATAATTCTAAATAAAAGTTGGAGACTTTAATATACCTACAATAACCATAAGATCCACTAAGTACCTTGCAAGACATATATCCAAATAACGAGAGAAATAATGGTATTTGAATAAATACTTGCATGTGAATGCCCAGAACAGCACAATCCATAAGAGTCAAAGATGGAAACAACCGAATTTCCACTGAGAGAAGAATGGATAAACAAAATGCGGTACATCCACATAATGAAATATTATTCAGCTATAAAAAGAATGAAGTTGTGTTCTTGGCTGAAATGAATGAATCAAAAAGCTTGCTAAGTGAAATAAGTCAAATACAAAACGTCACAATTCTACGATTTTATCCATGAGATACTCTCAACAGAAACAACTCCACTGAGACAGAAATCAGATTGCCAGGGGCTGGTGGAATGTGGAAATATTGGGGGACTGCTTCTTGGGTACAGGTTTCCTTTGGGGTGATGAAAACAGTGTCAAACTAAATATCAGTAGAGAATAGTAGCACAATATTGTGAAGGTACTAAATGACAGTCAATTGCACATTTTACTCTTTAATTTTATTTAAAAGAAGTTTGTGCCAATTGGTCAAGCAGCCATAGTAACTGGAACATCCCTAAAAATCATTTATTTCCTTCAGGGATGACTTAAGTTTTATTTCCTTTTGTTTGTTTTTCAAATGGATGTCCAATGCTGAAGGAATCTTTTCTTTTCCCATTTTACTATTAATATGTTCTGGTGGAAGCTCATCTGACTGTATTATGGAGGTCTATTTATGGACCCTATATTATGTTGAACTGACAACTACAGTTTTATAAGGCAGGTGGAGTAAATTTTTCTATCTAGTTCATGTTTATCAGGAGTGCTTTAAATAATCATAGGCTTTTTCCTTGGCTGGTACATTTTTCAAATATTTATATCATTTTCTAGAATAAAGCCTGCTAGGGACATATTCAAATTCTAGGCCAGTATGTACCACCTACCCTTTACCAATATTAAATATGAACAGGATATATCTATCCCAAGTTTTAGTTATTTTGTCTCAACAATGTCTCCTAATTTTCTGTATAGGCAGTTTTCACATTTTCCCATCAAATTTGTCCCTAAATATCTGGTATTCTTTGATGCTACTACAAATGGTATTTTAAGGACATTTTCAATTTACACTGTCAGAATACAAAATACAATTGTCTGCTTGATTACTTTGTATCCTGCGATTTTGACAATTTTACTTACTCATTTTAGTATTTTTTCTTCTACGTTCCTTTTGTGCTTTTCATGTTTATAAAATTTTGACATTTACTGTAAAAGGTTTCTCTATCTTCGCTTGCAATTATATATTTTTTCTCTTGTCAAATTTCATTCACACTATGATTTTGAACAGAAGTTGTAAGCATTTATTTCATTGATAAAAAAGCAGTATTCAATATTTCAATACAGAATATGATAATAACTGAGAGACTTTTGGTTTTCAGCTTTATTAGGCTGAGGATATTTTCTTTTATTCCTAAGTTGATGGAATTTTTATCATAAATATTGTGTTTTCTCAGATATTTTTCCCCTCTGTATTGAAATGAATGTTTCAATTTTCTCTTACTCTTTTTTATAGTGAATTGCACTGATAAATTTTTGTTTATTAGATGAACATTGCATTTCTTACATAAAATAAATTGGATCAATTTAATACATTTCTGTATTAATATTACTAATGGGTGGTAAAAATATTGATATCTATGGTCTTGGAATAGGATCATTTCTAGTGTTCTTTTCTTGTAAAGTCCTTGACTTGTTTCAGTTTATGGAGGTCAACTAAATAGAGTTGAAATGTGTAGCCTTCTTCTCCATTTTCTGAAAAGTTGCATATGGAATTAATTTCTTTTAGTTTCAAATGTTTTGATCTCATAATGAAGCCATCTTGGACTCCAGTCCTTTTCATGAGAAACTATTTAATAATTAATTCAATTTAATTAACTGATAGAGGAAACCTAAATATATCTATTTCTTCTTGAGTAAGTTTTAGTTTCTTGTGTCTCTCAAATGATTTATATCTTTTATACAAGTTGTCAATCTTACTGGCATAGAACTGTTAAAATTATCTTCTAAGTATCCTGTTAATGCCTTCACAATCTGTAATAGTTTTTATTCTTTCACTCCTAATACTCTTGCATATGATAAGAATATGCAAAGTAGTTTTATTGTTTAAGTAAATATCTTCAAATAACCAACTTCTGGGATTTATTGATTTTTCTTTGTTTTATTTTCTATTTCAATTACATTATTTTTCTCATTTATTTCCCTCAACATATTCTTGATTTAGTTCATTGTTTACCTATATTCTTACAGTGAAAGCTGAGGTTATTGATTTTATACATTTTCTTTTCTAAAACATCAATCTTTAAAATGCCTCTATTAGAGCTATGAATTTTCTCCTAAGCACTTATTTAGTTCACCCTACAAATCTGTATATGTTTTGTTTTTCATAATGTTGTCAAATTTCCTTTGCAATTTTGTATTTAACTCCTTGGATATTTAGAAATGAGGTTTTTAATTTCAAAATGTGGAGGCAAGAGGAGTTTCTAGGTTTCTTGTAATTTATTTCTAACTTGAGAAAATTTCTTCACAAAAAATATTTCATATAACTTCATAATTGTTTTACAGCATATCATATTAATTGTCTTTCTGAATATTCTACCAGAAATTGAGAATTATATACATGTGTGTTAGTGTGTGTGTGTGTGTGTGTGTGTGTGTGTGTGTGTGTTCTAACTTTATTGAGCATGTGTTCTATAAATATCAATTAACTCAAGGTGGTTGTTCAAATCTTTTACGTGTTTACTGATTTTTCGGATTCACTTATTATGTCTTTATCTGATTTTAGTTCTATATATTTCACATCAGGCAATTGGAAACACTGTTCTTATGTGCACTGCCTCACAGCATTATCATGTTTTCTTGATTCAATAATTTTTTCATTATGAGATGATCTCTTTTGAATTCTTCTTAGTCTGATATAGTTACTTAGGTTTATTTATGCTTAGTATTTAAAATTGGTTTTGTCTGTATATTTAAACATGTTCCTTGTTTTTCAAAAAATCTATACCCTTTATGCAGCCTCACAATACTTGTTTTATCATAATGTTTAATCCATTTTTACGTAGTACAATTCCCCTCATATCAATAGTTAAACCTATCATCTTGGTGTTTGATTTCTATTTTACAATCTTTCTCTGTTTCTCTGTTCCTCTCTTCCCGCCTTTGTTTGGGGAGGATAAAGAGCATTTTCATATTCCATTTTAATGTATCTATTAACTTCTCATTTGTGCATTTCATACTGCTTTTAGTGATGCTTTAGAGATTATGATATGCACCTATAAGCTATTACAATCTATGTTCAAGTGACATTCTTCAACAACATTTTAATATTTGATAGTATATTTCCAATGTTAACACTTCACCCATTTTATTCTTGTTATATATATTATCTCTACACATACTATGAAAATGTTATTTTGTTATTGTTTTTGCCATTAAAATATTGCTAATGATCTATGGAACCAGAGGTTGAGAGGAGACAGAATCAGATGCCAACCACCAGCAACACTCTGCAGCTGGTAGCATCCTATGTAGAGCAAAGAGCTTACAGAATGAGGTGGGCTTTGGGCATTTTCCCCTCAGTGATAAGTGATGGAATCCAGAACTGGCAATATAATTAGTAAACCCTTATAGTTATGGATTTATCATTGGAAGACAGAGAGACAGAGGTAGAAAGAGGAAGAAAGGAGAAGGGGAAGGGGAAGGAGGGCAAATAGAGAAAGAGGGGAGAAGCTGATGACTCCTTGATAGAGATGGAAACTGAGACTTGATTCATTTCACTTTCATTTTTTAATTTATTCATTTTTCCCATCTGAATTCATAATTGGGTCAGGAATGGCATTGGATACTACCAACCATACTAGTCCAAAGAAGACATGGTAATTTTAGACTTGTGTATTTTTTAATGTTGGGAACTAATTTTATATACTAAACTGGCAAAGGAGGACAAGTTGACAAATCACAATCGTCATTTGCTAAGACCATTAAATGTTCATAATATTCCATAAAACCTCACAATAGCTTGGTGGAGTTGATCCAATAGTTTTATGAGTACCATTAGGTAAATGCAGATAGAGTTGATTTCAGTCTCTTTCACATACCACCCAGATGCAGACTCCAGTTAGCACACAGTAGTTTTTCAAAGATTTTCAAACAAAAATAGTTATTTTAAACATACTCTTTTCTTTGTTGAAATTAAAAGCAAACATCTCACTCTATAACAAATATAAGAAATCGATGTATAAGAAAAGCAGTTTTCAAGCTCTCATGTGTTCCATCAGCTCCTGAACTATTTAACAAGCTTCCACATGTGTGGAGGCAGCAGAGCCCTGGAGAAATGCAGGGGCTACTAAGGTAGTGGGAAAGGAAGCAGAGACATTAGGAGAAGGGAACTTATGGCAGTGTGGGAGAGGATATCTATAGAGACTTTTTCAGTCACAAATAATAATGAGCAGGGTTTCAGGGAGATCCTAGATAGAGGATTTAAGATTTGTTGTTGATAAATGTTTGGAATGGAAATATCTTTCACTCTGCTCTAAAAGATTTAACTTGATTTTTTTGTACTTCATTAAATGCAGATATGGTTCTGCTTTCAATGTAGTATAATGCTGCTACTGGCTATGAGAGGCAAAGGAACTGCTCCCTACAACTTGTATTCTTCAAGGAACAGAATACTAGGTCTAAATCATTACACAGTTTGAGAGTATAAGTAGGTGAGTATATATACATACAATAATTCAATATCAATGCAGACATGAAAGTGGAAATCATTAGGATTAATAGTCAAAAATACCAGATTAAAAGTTTGGCTTCACTTACTATTTTTTCTTTATTTCCTAAACAACAGACTTATAAAGGAAATAATATTTGAAGAACAAACTTACATGATTTGGAGTCTGGCGATGGGGGAGAAATATTAGACACAGCAAGGTCACTTTTTGATTTTTTAGGCTTCTTTGCATTTAATTGCCAAGGTTTATCATAGCTTCTGAAATCCCTTCTTGTTCCTTTAGATTCTGTTAAAACAAAATATGCATAAAAATCAATAATAAGTATGAAGGTATTCTTGTCATCAAATATAGCAATGTACAAAGGACCACTGAGCCAGCAAAGAATGAGACATTGGGTGTCATGCGGTTTCTTTATTCTGTAGTTCTTTCTGGCCAAGGAAAACAATTCATATTAATGCAAATAATATAGCAAGGCTACTATTCCTATCTAGTTGGTGGAAAAGAGAAGAGATGAGACAGGATGTGACCACTACTAGAAATTTCAATATCAGCCATGATTTCACCTATCCCAAAGTTTGAAAATAATCCAAATAGTTTCAAGCTACATGGTAAGGGGACAAGAAGAATTCACCTACACTATTGGTGGACAAACCTAAAACTAGATAGAATACTCCACATTTAAATTTTAATAAACAGAAAAATATATTTCTAAGAAAAATTTCATTTAAAAACACAAGAATACAGCATCCACAATGCAGAGATCATACTTTTAAAAGCATTAAATATCAGAATATAACTGATTTTGTCTTTTGAATAAAAATAAAGGAAAACGGACTATATGAAATCAAAAGAAATTAGAGCCAGTCACGGTGGTGCACGCCTGTAATCCCAGAGGCTCAGAAGGCTGAAGCAGGAGGATGGCAAGCTCAAAGCCAGCCTCAGCAAGAGTGAGGCACTAAGCAACTCAGTGAGATCCTGTCTCTAAATAAAATATAAAATGGGGCTGGGGATGTGGTCCAGTAGTTGAGTGCCCCTGAGTTAAATCTCTGGTACTCCCCCCAACAAAATAAAGAAATTAGAGTAGAGATAAGTCAACCAACCTATGATTGAAAATGGAAATGTGCACAGAAAAAATTATCTTTTAAAAAAAGATGAGTAGGAGACTAAAATGCAATAACACATTTAAATTTGTGTTCAAAGTAAGAAAGAGGAGAGAACCGGAACTGTCAAAAATTTAATCAGTGGCATGGAGAACATACTTTATTCAATAAACCCCATAAGAAGAGAGTCAATAAATATGAAAGGCAAACACAATGACAAATGAAATGAGATAAATAAAGAGCTGTGGAGGAGACTCAATATACACATGATTGATTTTCCTGAAAAATCACAGTCAACAGCCCAATAAAACTTTTGAAAAATATAAGTTTAAAAAATCCATACATATTCAAGAAAAATAATTTCTTTTATTATTCCTAAAAATATTCTTTCTATATCTCTCATATTTTCACTACATCAACCTCCTGAAGGTTTTTAGCTTTCTATGTCTAAATCTCCTCCTGCCGTTGCTCACTGTGTCATATCTGACCTTGTGCTTCATCATCATCAGAATCACTTGCTCACAAATATCAACTCCTCCACAAAACTCTTCTTCCACCCTCCATGATCCACATGGTATCACAATCACAATTCTCAATCTGCCCCTCAAAATTTTTTCTCTCTCCCAACCCAGCTCTTATGAACACTAATGAAAAAAAAAATCACCTTTTTGATGCTGCTTTCTATGATGAATTAATTAAAAATTAATTCATGTCTTCAACTTCAGTAAGGCCCCAAAACTGCTTAACAAACCCTCTTACCTTTAGCAAACAACCTCACCTCTTAATAAACAACGAAATTTAAGGCATCCAGAATGATCTTACATGTATCTTCTTCCATATTCTAAGTACACATCTTCCACATGTTTAACCACATTTTCCTCCATTCTTTCACCCTCATGTTTTTCATGATTAGTTGTGTTGGGAGTCACACCGCCTCAAAAGACTAACTTCCCTATCCCCTGAGAGCCGTCCAATGGTGAGCCCTGCTAATTCACATGATCCTGACCCACCAATCAGAATTTCCCCATCCCCTAAGAAGAACCATCCAATGGTGAGCCCTGCTGGCTCACGAGATCCTTATCCACCAATCAGACTATCCCTGCTGGCTCACATGATCCTTACCCACCAATCAGAAAGCACCCTATGCCAACTGACAACCATTAAACTGTCATAACTGTCAAACCACCCCCGGCTCTATAAATATGCAGAGCTGTTCCTCAATAAACAGGCATTTTCTCCGAAGAACAGCCTTGATCGTTCTTTCAAGTTGTATGATACTGAATGAGTTCCACACCAGGACTTCAGCCTTGAACTACCCCAGAGTTTAGAGTCAGCACCAATTGCCTACTGTAACTATCTCCAAAGATTTTCCACAGGAAACTCAAATTAATCAATAGGAATTGAGCTTATATTTCCCTTTATAAATTTAGTTTTATGTTCCTATCTTGCCTTATTAAATGAGCATTTATGCCATCACTCAAGTCAGTAAACTGGGAGTTATGATAATCTCCTCCCTCCTTTCCCCTTCTGCAAGGAAAGAGTCATAAGTGCTTGTGCAAGTCAGAATTCTAAGAAAACTGGAAAAATAACAAGGTAATTTATAATCATGATCGATGTACCCAGGTGTTCTGCCCTATTATTCTATTCCCTCCTTGAGTGAAGTCAGGACTTTTGACCTGCTTCTATCCAATAAAAATATGGCAAAGGTTTTGTCAATGTCATGATTACATTATTAATAAGACTCCATTTTAGCAGAACAGAATGAGAGAAATTCCGTTACTGCCTTTAAAAAAGTAAACTGTCATGAGGTGAGAGAGCAATGTGGCAATGAACCTTGCATTGCATCTAGGAGCTGAAAACAGACCCTAAATGAAGGCCAGAAAGGAAACAGGGTTCTCAGTCACAAAGCTGCACGGGATAAATTTTGCCTCTGTTGGGTGAAGTCTTCATTCACCTAAATGAGCTTGAAAGCAGATTCTTCTGTTGGCAAGCTCCAGATGAGAATGAAACCCGGTCAACATCTTGACTTGCAGCCTGGTGAGGCTTAACACTTAGCTAAGCCAGGCATAAATTTCAACAAGGACACTGAGATGCTAAATGTGTACCGGTTAAAGTCCCCAGTGTAATAAATCATTCTCTCTTCAGATACAATGTTTTATAAAACATGGACTCACATGAACTTTGGTAAGCTCACAGGTGCTCATCTGATATGCTTTTACCTGGTGGGTGCCATTTTAGCACTTATAAGCCAAAGATTAAACACCTAATTTATAATCTAAACCCAAGAAAGTGGGGCCAAGAAAAAACAAGAGTTCCCTCTGTTGTATGCCAAAAGCTCATATTCTAGTTTCCCGTATGATGCAGACAGCTGTGCATGGATCATCAACACCAGATATGTCTTCATTCTTCAGGAAATACCCTATTCTCTATTCAGGGTCTTGAGAAAGCACTAATATGACAACACACATAGAGACAAAATCCTTTCCATGAGATCCCACAGAGCATGAAGGGAAGAAGAGAAATCATAGTGTCATCACAGAAAAAAAAAACATTTTGAATCCAAACAAGCTGATTCCCTGGAGAATCAGGCAAGGAGTGGGGCAGCTAAGGAGATCTGGACTTGAAAATAAATACCTGAGACAACAGAACAGTGTGTAAAAATGGTGAAGTCAAGTCTACCCAAGGATCTCACCAGTGTTTACTGGGGAAATAAAGTTATCATAAAGCTGGAGGGCTGGTTCCCCAACATCCAGAAGGAACGATTTCTCCTAAATCTGAACTTATACACAGGATAACATGAGGGCTACAGAAAATGGAGACTGCTCATCAGTTTGAGAAGTAAGAAAACTAATTTTGTAGACATCTAGTCTTTTTTTTCTTACTTTTTTTCTTACTTTTCTATACAGATAAACTGTAAGCATTTAATTCAAAATATTCATAAAAGAAACAAAAAATTAGAATGATTTGTTTGAACTCATACACAATGAAATCCTTCTCTGCAATCTGAACCATCTCTATTAAATGAAATACCCTGATTTTTATATTTTGAAGTACAATGCAATATCTTCAAATTCAAAAATACTATAAGTTTTAACATCTGGGTGAAGTCACAGTCAAATACATGAAAACCTTAGGTATCCATTCATCTAGATTGATCTTATCAAAATCAAAAAGACTTGAAATTTTTCATTTACCTGATGTTTCACTTTCTGCCCAGAGAGCTGCAGATCCAGACAAAGTTCTTTGCAGTTGTCCACGATTTCCTTGTTTAGACTGAAGATGGTCAATAAGAAATGGGATTGGCTGGTCAGGTGTCTCAGTTATTAGCTTAGTCATTAATTCCTGAAGACAGAATGGAGCACACATTTATATCTAATAACCATAGCAAAGATAATAACAAACATTAAATTAGCATTTCATATTGTCAATCATCACTGTTTCTAGGCAGCAACTAATTTAATCCTAAGAATATTTTCAGGCAGGGACAAATTACTGCTCTCATTCTGAGAGAAGTGAAGTATAGACAACTGAACTGTCTACATTGCAGAGCTAAAATAGAGCAAACCCAAGAGGTATTTGTTTATATTAATCTTTATTTCTCATAGTTAGCCTAAATATACTAGAAATTTTATCTAAATACTTATTTTTAAAAAGCATCATCTCAGAATTTTAAGTTTTTGTTTACTGTTCTGAGAGATGCCATTACAAACTAAGTGTTAGATAAAATTCACCATATGCCTTATATACTAAGTTTTAGATATCAGACACACTCTAAAAAGTTACTGTGTTAATGAGGTATATTCAAATCTAAAGTGATTAGGTTATGAGAGCTGTAACCTTATCAGTCCATTTGAGCTTGAATGGATTGACTCGGGGATCACCATAGGCCGGGGGACATGGCTACTGAAGGTGGGTCATGGGGGCATGCCATTAAGGGGTTCATTTTCCTTCAGTTCCTTCCTCTCTCCCTCTCTGTTTCCTGATCCTGCCAGGAGCCCAGCAGTTTTTTTTTTTCCTGATCCCCCTGCTGGGCCCTTTGGCCATGATGTGCTGCCTCTCTTGGGCCTAGAACAATGGATTCAGCCTAGCATGGACTGAACCTCCAAAACCTTCAGCCCCAGATGAACTTTTCCACCTTTAAGTTGTTCTCATCGGGTATTTTGGTCATGGTGACACAAAGCTGATTAAAGCATACACTAATGTCATGTTTCCTTCTTATCCACACATAAATATCCCAAAATGAAGAAAATTTTGTTGGAATGAATAAATGGGTAATATGCCAGAGATTCACAGAAATGAAAAAGTGTCTGAAATAGTCCCCAAACATTACAGAATCTTCTTTTTCCAAAAATCTCTGATGAGTAAATCTTTTGGTCTCTTCCTCTGTGTATGTTTCTCCCCCTCCCCCTCCCCCTCCCCTCCCCCTCCTACTCCCCCTCTCCCTCTCCTACTCCCTCTCCCTCTCATTAAACAACAGCAAGATCTTTACCTGTGGAACAGGCCATTCCATTTTTAAATAGCTCTAATGATACCTTAAATTGGGCCAAAATTTGCCCAAGGGTAATATCTACACATTGTTTTTTCCAGTCAGAAAGAGCAAAAAAACAATCCCCAATTTGTGGTCAATTAGAATCCCCAGATTGTTCGAACATAAACAGCTGTCAAGCCGCAGGAGCTATGAAATTGGATTTGTAAACTCACAAGCACCACTTTTCCGTCTTATCAGTCACATTCCATCTTGTTGGTTTTAGCCTAGAATTCTGGTCTGTCAACTGTCATTTTATGTTCAGATTCTAGGAGAGGCAATCTAGTGAGCAGGCCTGAAAAATCAGATGTTAGGAGTCCTAGTGGAAGGGGTACTAGAAATTGCCATGCCATTGTCTTTTTGTTTGATGGTGGCCTCTCCCCCCCCCACACTTGAATGTTTTTCTCTCAGATGGCTGATGGTGATCCCATCATCGTTCAGTCTACAAGGATACCTTCTCAGTGAGGCTTAGCCTTAACCAATCTTTCAAGACTTTATCACTTTATTTTTTTCTCAGCCTTCAGCACTCTCCAGAGTCATTTTGCTAACTATTTGTCCACCTATTATCTCAGGGATGTTCGTTTACATTTATAACAGTCTACAAACACACAGATTTATCTGAGCAGAGCCTAAATGGTTTTTGTAGATGACAAGATCCCAAGCTGGTCTTAGAGATATGCATCAAATAATTCAGAGTATCTCAAAAAAAAAAATGTGCTGATTGAACCTAGATTTGGAGCTTAAAAGAGCAAGAGGTTTCTACCCTAAATACACTGTAATGCAAAATATTTATAAGACAAATGTAATACTTTTTTTAGTCTGAAAAACAGGTAAGCAAACACCAGTTAGTATAGTCTTATTTATTTCTGCTGCTGAAAAATCTCAGTCATTCGAATTATAACTAAAGAGGCCATTTTGTCTACTGTTGTAATCATGAAGCACTGCAGGTTCAATTAAACTCCAATTATACATCAATGGCTGGAATTTTAAACATTTCAGATTTCGCACTTATGGGAGAGATGTATTACATTCTATTTGAGCTCATTGTACATTACAAATGCCATTAGAAAATGGAAAGAAAAGTAAATCGAAGTGAGGCAGAAAAAATAAGAAGTAAAGTAGGACAGAAGAAAAAAGAAATACATAGGAAACATTTAAGGAAGGACAAGACAATATAATTTTAAAGTTCTTCATACTTTTTCCAGGCCTGTCATTCTCCAACCTAGTTCTTCCCAGGCCTATCACTCCCAAATTTCAGGGAAATGTATAAATCTTAGAGTTACCATAAAACCACTTACTCATGACAATTACCTTTTGCACTATTAATTAGTCCACTGATAAATATATTAAGCAAAGAGAGACATAATATTTTTAAGAAACTTATAATTTAGGGGACTTTCTAGTGTTATCTATAGATTATATAATGGAGCCAACACCATTCTAAAGACCCTGAAAATGATAACACCACCATAAACAATCTTGTGATCATCAGATTAATGCCATGCTTACACAGCCTCCCATACCTACCCTTTACCAAGTTTTGTTTAAAAGAAGAACCAGTTACCCCAAAAGCAAATCTCACTTTTCCTGCCATCATTTGTTTTATTTATTTATTTATCTTGAAATGACATTGTCTTGATAAAGAATGCTTCTGGATAGGCACAAAATAATATGATATCTCACAATATTAAATTTAATTTCATGGGTTTTTATTGGTTCTTTTTAGTTATTCATGACAGTAGAATTCATCTTGACATGATTATAAAAGCATGGAATAAATCTTATTCTAATTCACACCCCAGTATCTCCTCTCCCCCTCCCCCTCCCCTCCACTGGCTCCCTTCCCTCTGTTATCTTTCTGCCATTTACCCATAGTTATTTTTCAAATTGATTTCTTGTGGATGTACATGATAGTGAGATTCTCTGTGTTGTATTCATATACGAACACAGGAAAGTTGTGTCAGATTCATTCCACTGTCATTCCTTTTCCCATTCCTTCTCCCTTCCCATCAATCCCCTTTGTCTACTCTCCTAAACTTTATTCTCTCTACCCCTTATTGTGGGTTAGCTCCCACATATCAGAGAAAACATTCCACCTTTGGTTTGAGATAACCCACATTTTCCCTTGAACATGTCTCTGCTTTCCCAAATAAATCTTTGTCTGTGTCTCTGACTGGCACGTGCTGAAATTCTTTTCATGACATAATCCCAGGACCCCACTTGTCAAGTACCCACCCTCAGGAACTCTTCAGACTGTCTTCTGGTGACATCTCTTCTCCTCAGGCAGAGGGACCAACTAGACTATTCTAATCACAGAAAGCATGAGCACTAAGATAAAAGCAAAATTAGGTCAGAGTAAAGAGCTCCAGAATCACAGTGATTTCTCTCCTGAGACCGCAGAAGGTATCATATGCTTTTTATAAAAAAAAAAAATTCCACCTTTAGAATTGGACAGGAAGTTTCCATATTTTTGTTCTTGTAAAATAAACTGAAGTTCCCCAATGTTTTCCTCAGAAGATAGAATACACAGTCAAAATATGCCAAGTATTCTCTATTATATTTTAAAAGTATTATCAGTCCAATAACTAGTTTTGGCTACACTTAAATTCCACTAATAAGTATTAGAGATTGAAGACCCAGAACAATTGCAGTCACAGCAAAATGAAAACAGTTAATGTTTGCAATAGAGTGTGTTAGGCATCTGGGTTGGGAAACAGGACAGTAGAATTCATCTTGACATGATTATAAAATTATAAAACCATCTAGCTATAGATGATTTTACTTACAAGAGGAATGATCCTGCCTCTCACTTAATCCACATTAACTAGAACTCAAATGATTCTGAGAGCTTGAACTTGCAAAAATCCCTTTCCTGGGCAAGAAAATGTGAATCCTTAGATTTGCAAAGATGCTCCTGGCAATAAAAAGATTGATTTCTTTCCACCCCTGGGACTTAGAGGTACAAAAATAGAACCGAGGGGTTGAAAGATTTGAGGAAGTGAGAATAGAGATGTGTAGTTAGAATGTAAAGTCAGGGCTAGAAATGGATAGCAGGAAGTTTCACAAGGATCACTGACCAGAAGGAAGAAAATATCTCAGAGCATGAAGACAGTCTCAGGTACACATTCTGAATACCCGTAGATGGAGTGTGTCCAGGAGGAGGCTCATCTGCCAGTCTTGCCATTGGTGTAAGAGTCATGACATGAAATTCCCTAGGAGATTTGTGCTATGTGTCTAAATTAAAAGAAAATAAGAGTGGTGATAGCACTTCTGCCTGGTAACAAAATGCCTGTGAACATTTTAGGTTAAATATTTAGGTATTGATAAAATGCAAGTATTATGATGTGTTTACACTCACTGCCTAGATAAACCTGAGTCATTCAGGTTGCAATCAAAATATACTAGCAGTTATTACCAAAAAAGGTTTAAATTCTAATTTAAACTTATCAGGCAATATCAGTAAAATTGCTCATGTATGGAATATGCAATAGGTAATACAGGAAATTAGACACACAGGGTTTAAAATCAGATAGACATTCCTGAATCATTCATCTCCTACTTACTAGCTGTGTGACTTTAGGCAAGGTACTTAATCACTTTAACATCCAATACTCCATCCACTAGCCAGTCATGATAGAACATATCTACAATACCAGAGGCTTTGGAAACTGAGGCAAGAAGGATCTCCAGTTCAAAGCCAGTTGTGACAACTTAGCAAAGCCAGAAGCAATTTAGTGAGACCTTGTCTGAAAAGACCCTGGTGATGTGGTTCAGTGGTTAAGAGCACCCCTGGGTTCAATTCCCCATACCAAAACAG